TAGACAGGTATTGTATGACCTTCATTCGGCTCCTCTTAAACTCTATTTAATAAGCAAGCCCACAGCAGATTTATTTAATTGGAGGTAACCAGACTTCAGCTCAGTTTTTTTCTGAAGACAGTTTTTCTGTCAGCTCGTACTACAGCTCTGGTGCTCTAGTGCGAGTCGACAGAACTGACAAAGACACCTGCATAGGACAGGAGCCATGACCTTGATGTCTGAGAATTTGTACAGGCAACTGCTTAATGAGGCAGACTGATCTCAGGTGTGAAGTCCTGCCACAGCACAGCTTTATCCACCAACTGAACCTGTACAGGGAAACAGAAGGAAGGCACAGACAGCATAATCCGAAATCCTGAGAATAGATACTTTGCATATCAACTTTATTGTTATGAGACACGATTTGTATGGAGCAATTTCAGTGATTGCTGAAAAAGGGAAGAAAAAAAAGATTTGGTATTGAAAAACGGGGAAGGGATGTTAAACAGAAGGCTCGTTCATGTGCCCTCCAAGGTTTTGCTCCTCCCCTCCAGTTACATTTTTTTTTCCATCTGCAGTCTTTTTTTCTGTTTTTATTGAAAATGTTTTAATCTACAGTATTTGAATATACAATGTCCAATCTCTCTTTTGTTACAGTACATCATTATAAACTGTCACTGATCCATATTTGTTCTCATTGTAAAGTATTGAATAAAATATCTGGCATCATTTTTAGTTGCATATCTCAGTTAGATATAGTTTTATATATATATATATCTATTTATATATAGATGAGTTGTTAAATATTAGTTTGTGTTAATTTTAACACATAAAAAAAAAAAAAAAATATATATATATATATATATATATATATATATATATATATATATTTTTTTTTTTTTTTTATCTGACAGATATATATATATATGGCAGATATATATATATATATATATATTTGCTAAATGGAGGGCTTGTGAAAAGAGAGTGTCCTGGACTCTTTGTGGCCGTTAGAGGAGTTGGCTCGAGCAGATCTCCCTTAGACAGGAAGCCAGTAATCCCAACGACCTGCTGCAGTTATTTCTTCCTTGATGCAGTACAGCTGGTATGCTTTCCATTTATAGGTTAGGACACTCTTCATTATGCAGTTGTAAGTTTTTCAAATAGTGAGAAAATAAAAGAAAATCCTTTGTTATACTGTGAACAGAGGTCGTCTCAGAGATGTGCACAGTGGGAAACTTAAAGCTTCTTACAAGCTTCGGTCTGTTTGTCAAAAATGTTGAATCCACAGACAAAAGTAAAGCTTTCAATGTTCTGTTTTTGCATTTATTTGATCACTTTGATAGGGTAAAATGCTGGCCTAAAATCACCATAAAGCATCCATTTGGTTGCTTTGGAATTTTCAGTGTGGCTGAGATAAGTATGAATGTCTGAATACATGTACCTGTAGGGATACTGGTTTTCTTCAAAAGTAGTATTCAACGTTGAACCTCACATTCTGTAACAGCAATCTCTAAATCACTTTTATTAGAAATACCCCAGATGTGGCTGTAGTAAGACAAAGGAGGAATAATTCCTAAAAGCATCTGATCTAATATGTATTGAAAGGGATATGTAATGCTGTAGGCCTGTTTCTCTTCAAAACAACACCTTAAAGGGTTGTTACTAGTAGTTTGAACACTTTAAACTATAATGTTTTTATCAGCATTTTGATAGAATATCTTCTAAACTCTAACAAAAATACGTTACTGGGTCCTTAAGAAGGATAATGATCCTAAACAGACCATCAAATCAGCAAAGGCATGGTTAACCAGAGATGAAATCGGCTTTCTTCAATGGCTCTGTCAGTCCATAGACCTAAATCCTCCAAGTTGCATTTTAGCTGAATAGAAAACAGGAAAGAAATGATACAGTACTAACATTAATAGACAGATTGTCAAAATATGGACAGGTTGTCAAATGAGGGTTCTAAAATATCCCTTTTACTTTTTGAAATAAATATGAGAATACAAAGTGTTGTCCAAATGGCATAAGTGAGTTTTATAAAGTGTTGGGTGGGTCTATCTTATCTTTACAAGAATAAGCCAATCTATTATTAGGTCAATAAAACTAATTTATTATTCTGTCTGAAATCTAAAGTAGGTAAAATTTAACACACGAGGCAATGCTTGTTTATATTTATAGCCCAAATCTGTTGACAGACAATTCAAATTGCTGTACATGGAAAAAAACAATAAAACATAGTGTGAATGGGAAAAAAACAGTGAAAAGTACATTGCAGCGGCATAAATGTAATTAAACAGATTTTTAACATAAATAAAAAATGCTTAGTTAAAGCAATGATTATAAAAAACAAAATGATTTATGATGATATGGTTTAATACATCAAATCCATATAAAAATATTGCAATAGAGTGTTTTGACTGTATTTTTTCTATAATTGTAGCCCTTTTAATTACTTATCATTATTTGATTTATTAATGAATAATAAACATGTTATATTTTATAAATAACCACCTAGTTGAATTTAAGGTTAAAAAAAATAGTCAATAGTCAAGACCCACCCTCTTTATTTATATTGTGCTATTCACTACATTTAATCTCTTTACAGAGACAGTTCAATCAGACAATACAGTTATACTGATTGGTTAGTGGTTTTCTACCAACAAAGAAGAAAGGAAGAAATATTTACGATTACTGATGGTGTTAGAATTTACCAAAGCAGTAACATGCTGCAGGCTTTAGAACAAAATCACACTAACATATTTTATCTGCCTTCTTCTCTCCAACCAGCTGTGTCTGAGTCTCTGAGGCTTTAAGAGCCGCTAGGGGCCCAGTTAGGTTTGGACAGGCATTGATGCCTGTTTTTTTCCATGGTAACTCTATTCTCATGCCAGCAAAACTCCCTGAAACGTGCCATTATATGACTGCCAGCAAGTTGTAGGTGTGAGTCACTCTGTTTTTTTTTTGTTTTTTTTTTCTGTGTTAATTCTCAGTAGGGCTCAGCTTGAGGATAAGCAGCTATTTGCAGTCTGAAAGACTGCAGTGGTCTGTCCCCACTGCCCACCACACTGTCTTCTGACCAGATTCAGACCTAGGAGTGTGTCCAGCACAAACAATTGAAAGCATGCCCACTGTGATCTAGCTGTATTCTTCCATTATGGATCAGCAGCAGCAGGGGCCCTAATTAGTTGTGTTGGCTTGTTGAGGAAACGAATGGGCACTGATTTGACTCCAGGGCAATAAAGGGAGTCCCAGCTGCTCTGATGAGCACGCTTCTTAGAGTCAGTATTGGCAGGGAATCCCGCTTCCTCATTTTCTCACTCTTTATAGCCATTAGTTTTTATATGCATGCTCACTTCAGAGGTTTTCTGCTAATTAACTCTCCTTGACAATTTGGGTCATATTGTGTTTTCCCAGACATTTGAAAGTTTTGCATTGCTATCAAAAGTGAAGGAGCCATCAGAGTCTCACAATGCTGCTCTAAGTTCTCAGATGTTAATTCAAAGTGGCTCCAACATTGATATTGCAGCTATGCTGTTTTATAATAGCATTTTGAAATTGGTGCTATGCTATGGCATTTTTCAAAAGGCGGATACGAGCTTTTGAAGAACATAGCGACATGCCTTTTCAAAGATAAGGTAAAACCGCAACAATTTGAACCACAAATTGGTTTTGGATGGTGAGTTTAAGGGGTTGGAGTGAGTCACTTTCTCATCTTTGCAGAAAGTGTGTGATCTGTTCTTTAGTTTCCAGCTCCTGCGCCATGACAGTTTTAGACACAAATTCCATTCATTCTCCTTGAAATGTGGTTTTTACCACGTAAGCTGACATGTAGCACCTAATCTGACAGCTCCTACTGGCACATAACAAAACGGAAAATCCCATGCTGGAACCCGTGGGCAGTAGGATTAGTCCTCCTCCAGACCAGCAAGGGAGCTGATACAGATTTTCTCTTTAGGGAAAAACCTCTTACCTCATTTTAAGAAGAACTTTTAATTATTGTAACTAAAAGCCTGCATTTTTAATTTTTTAATCAAAATTTGGATTTTATATGATTTATTAAACTTCTACAAATAACTGAATTATATGCTTGTACCAGACAGTTACATTTATTGCAGTATTCTCAGGTGAACAACATCGGTATTACTGCACACAAACTTCTGACAGAGGACAACAGTTGCATCCCTCCACCTGAGCTGATGGGAAGAACGTCATTTCTAAATAATTTTGAGATTAAACACAAAACGAAGCAATTCACATGTGATATTGTTGCATAATGTACAACCTAAACTCTTCTGGATTGGTTGACAAGTCACAGCTGTTAAAGAAGTCCCTAATTGATTAGCTGCCCCCAAATAATTATGTACATCAACACTAATGTTGTAAGGTTGAGAAAACCAGAACTGTGTTAATAAGGTCTTTTTTATCTGAATTAATTACCTGCAAATACAATTAATTAAAGTCATGAAACTTTTAAACATCAATATTAATTTTTTTTTATTATTTACTAAAATCAGATTTTAAATGAGAAAAAACTCTGTATTTTGCATTGCTGAAGGTATAAATTCATCATGTTTTAGAGTATGCAGCTGTTGAGAAATTGCTCAAGAAAAAAAGGGATATTTTAAAATTCTTCCTTTGTGAATAGAGCGAGTGAAGCAGTTCAAGTTCACTTCAGCTTGAAATAACAAGAGAAAGACCTCTAGTTTGGTCTCTGACTTATCGCTCAGGTGCAAATCAGAATTAATTACTCTATGATATGATATTCATCTTTAAGGTTCCAAGGAAAATGTCTCAGTTGTGCACTTTTTAAAGTCAAAGAGTTGCTAGCTTAAAAGATAAAAATATCTCTTCAAAAGAGATTTTTTTTTTCCTCACTATATTCTTAAATGGTTCTTTAAAACTGTAAACTGCAGCCTACTCTAACATTTTTTTATGAGATTTTGAAACCAAGCTTGGTCCTCTCCTCCCTTCTTTACCCATCGCATTCTGACCTGTGATTGTTCTATTGTTTGTTGCAGCTGGGTACAGAGTGGACTGCTCCAGGCGAGTTCACCAAGTTCAGGTCCCAGTCCTCCAAATCTGTGCAGTAAGTACCTGTGACAACTCCCACCTGTCCTAATAGCACATTTATTTCTTTCCAGCACAGAGACCAAAAGTGTGTATGAATACAGTTCTGCACTGGTGCATCTCCTAGAAGAGCTTTGTAGAGTCTCTCTAGCTCTCTGTATGATAGATAATCTGTCTGTTGCTTACTTTACAGCCAAGTCAAGCATGTTCCCTCTGAAGGCTTTTACTGCCCCCATATGAGTAAATGGATGGTTCAAGTGTCCACTAAACACTGGAAATCAGGCCTCTTCTGTGAACATGTACTTTAATGCACCAGATAGTTTATAACTTCAAACCCTTTAGCAAGTAGTCCAAAATGTTTGAAAAAGCAAAAATTAGTACTTTAAAAATAGTAAATGATTGAGAAAGCTTAGCACTGGCTTACATAAACTATAAAAAAATAAAATAATTAAAGTCCACTCTGTACTTTGTAAATGATGTTGTTTTTCTTGCTACCTTGACCCTGAAAGAGATTAATGCTTAATAAAAAGCTGTTGTAGACTACTAAATGTTTCAATTAAGGTAAAGGTCAAATATAGGCTTCCTTTCAAGCTCCAAAGAATTTAGTGCCTCACTAATCATAAACCTCATTGCACATCACTGGCTGTAAGAAGTTTGCTTGCTGTAAATGAAAGATGAGAACATACCTGTACAGTCTAAACCTATCTTGTTCCATTTAGATTCAGCAATTTCTTCTCAATATGTGCTGTGGTTGAACTTGAAATACATCCAATAATCCAATTGCTACTCTTCTGCTATTTCCCACTGTCATCGTTATTTTACATAAAAGTTGGAAGTCGCTGACACAACAATATTAGATACTGATATTTTGACAATGTGAAATTATCCCCAATACTTAGGCATTGCAGTTCTATACTCTTGTACTCTTTCCTCTCACTTTTGTATTATAAGGATCAGGATTTTACTGCTCTTTGTGTTGTTTATAGTAAGCATTACTTTAGAATAAAATTCTTATTAAAACATATATGGTTCACAGCTCTTTCAAACATAGCTGAGGAAAGAATGGAATCAGACTCAAGCAGAAGGTAATTAAAGTAAACCATGGATTTTTCAACCATCAAAGGAGAGTATGTGCATAATTCCCAAAGAGGAATTTATTAAGATATATGTGCCCCTAGAAAGTGTCTGTAGAAAATGATATGAGTTCCAGTTCCCCTGAAGTTAATTCTAAGCCAGTTAATAAATGCAGTGGGACAAAAATGTATTTACTGTAGTCAGTCAATGGTTGTGAAAGTTTTCCTAGGTAGAAATATGACAGAGGTCGTATAGAGAACAGAGAATTTATCATAAAGTATTTATTCGTAAGTTATAAACGAAAATATTTTGTCAACTTGAACTCAATACTTGGTAACACAACTGCAAGAGGTTATGCTACCTATCAAATGATTTCTGTATGCATTTACCAGGTTGAAAACCCTAGGTGGTGTTTTGACCCATTCCTCCAAGCAAATCTCCTCTAGAGCAGTAATGGTTTGGGGCTGCTTTGTTTTCCCACTGCAGTTCGTATGTGTCAAGGTTTGGTTGTGGTTTGGAGGACCCAAATGTAGAGGCAGAGAGGCTGAGGAGATTTCTTGGAGTTTAATGGGGCAAAAACAATAAACTAAGGCAGGAATCCAAAAATCCAACTAATAATGAAAGGCAAACCAGAACTATGGAGACATCTGGGAAAACCAAAGACGAGGAGCCAGGGAGAGACGAGGTAAGTAGACAACAGCATGGGAAGACAGCAAAGACAAGGAACCACACTGGAAAAAAATCAAAATCTAGATAAGTATTTTTTTCTTAAAATAAGTGCATTGTTCTTGGACTAAGTAGGTAAAAGAGACATTTTGTCAATGGAACAAGACAATTTACATTTAAAGTAAGAAAACACAATTGCATTGTCTTATTTTAAGTGCATTTTGTCTAAATATCTTATTTTAAGAGTAAAAATACTCAGTCCATTGGCAAATCATCTCATTAACCCACTCAAATTAAGGGTAAATACACTTAATTTAAGACATTTTTACTTATTTCTAGATCTTTTTTCCATTGCAACAAGGAGTGACAGCAGAGGGAGAGTATGGCTCTGTTCGAAAACCTAGGAAGGGTCCTCCAAGGACGCGGTCTACCTAGACTGGATCCTTCGAAGTCCTTGAAAATAAGGAGACCGGAAGAGTTTTGGCTGTAAATTCGACCAGGTCTACCCTTTGGCGGGTTTTACCGCCGTATGCTCTGTTGCTGAGCAACCGTGAACGTTGACACACAAAGCAGGAAAAGAATGAATACAGAAGTTTTCAAAACTGTTTATTTATTTCTTTTTTATTGTGAAGTGAACAAAGACTACATTAACAAGAATCCAGAGTGGAATAAAGGTTCCAACCAGCGGGAGCAGGAACAAATCAAATCAAATGTAATGATAGAAAAAGTCAGTTAAATAACCTGCTGCTGTCATTCTGCACATCTCTGATGTTGCTGCTTTTTCAAATATCCATGACTGTAAAAATGTCCATAGCTGCATATTGGTTATTTATTCCCCAGTTTTATATTGTTAAAACACTTTACAGTATTTTATTGTTTATATTTTAACTCTTCCCTATTATGTTATTCTTATACATTTTTCTAAGGTCCACATTTGTGTGACCATTTTCAATAATCTTTCTGCTGCTGTAAATTTGCCCATTGTGGGAAAATAAAGAGATTTTCTATTCTATTCTATAAAAGGGGTAGAAAGATATAAGTAAATCTAAACAATATATGTATAAAAAATATATCTGCAAAATCTCTAATATTCAACAACAAAAAATAGGAAGTTAAGCATATTGTGCAAAACAGCAATAAAAAGATAAAAATCCTATCAGATTTATAGTCCCCACCCTGCAAATATATTAGAATCTGTCCTTAAATTACAGCCAAACCCATTTACACAGTAACAGATTAAAACCTTTAGATAAACCAAACATTACCGCCACATATCTGACTCAATAACCATTAAAACAACTATTTTCATTCATTTCAGACGGAACTATTGACAGAGTTGTATTATATTAAACTGAACTTCCAATTTTCACCACTGTTCGGCGCCAAGTAACCTTTACTCTGATCACGGCTTGATTGGTCTCGCGATGAATCCTGGGACATCCAAGAATACCGAGGATACATCGGACCCGTCCTTCAAATCGGGCAAAAAGAAGGACGCATTTTAAGGCCGCATAACGAGGACTCTTGGAATCCGACCAGACCTCGGCGCCGCGCTATGACGTAATCGGCCTTCGAATCCGGTCTTCTAAGGATGCGTCCTAGGTTTTCGAACAGAGCATATATGTAGCTGACTGAGACAAAGGCAGGACTAACGAGCTGACAAGGAGCAGGTGTGAAAGGAGAAAATGAGGGAGCCAAGGGGAAAGGAACACACACAAGAGGGCAACAGAGGAAAACAACAGAAAAACCTGAGAACAAACATCTAGAAACTACAACAAAATAGGAATTAAACCAATAAAACTAGAAAACAAGGAGCAAAGTAAAGCACAACCGAACCAAGAACATGATAGTATGTGGACTTAAGAATGTTTTTTTTTCTCTATTTAACTTTTTACTATTCCTGAAGTATTAGTTCTTACAGATGCCGAGAGCGGTCTAGTACTTCCGATACTTTTTCACTGCGCTTTGCTCAAGAAAATAAGTTAATTTTCTCATTATCTAAAGATAATGAAGCCGTTTTCTCGTGACAATGAGATGATTGGAGTGTGTTAAAAGCTATTACATCCTTCAATACCACAATGGCCGTATAGATTTATAAGGATAAATCATGGCCCATGTGCAAATCTGTAAATAATCCTGTGTTTAACTTTTAGGTAACAAGACAACGTTGTTGGTTTGATGATTTGCCTACACTTCTGTTTCTCAAACAATTAGACCTATACCTCCGGCGCCTTGGCGCTGGGTGTTTTCTGAACAGCCCCGGTGTAACGCCTGTAACAGGTATAAGATGCATTAACTCAAAAAATTAGTCAAGTTTAAAGTTTTTTATAAAAAAAAAAACAGTCAGATTTGTTTCTACTGTATTCCATGCAATCCAATTATGTAGCACGACTTGACAATTAGTGATAAGAAAAAGGAAACTAAAAACTGATTATTTGCACACAACTACGGGTACGGATAGACTGGGAATCCAGGGCTGTTGGCCAGCCTCATTCATTACTCATACAGATTAATCATCTTGTTATCTCAAGAAATCAATAACTGTTTTCCTGTGATGATGAGATAATTATGTTGTTATCTCGAGAAAAAATTCAATGGTTTAACTCTGATAATGAGATAGTTATGTCATTATCTTGAGAAGGCAAAAAAGAAATAGAGTATGACTGCTCTTGGCTTCCATAAGTTCTAAGTTCATATGACTGAAATTAACAGTTGAGGGATCATTGCTAAATTGAGAAAAAAATGAGAAATCATATTTCCTCTGATCACCTTTACTTAAGGCAAAAGTAAAAGTTGTCACTTAACATGACTGCCTGTTAAAATAATGAATACTGTTTTCCTTGAACAGAGGCTGAAGTTGGAATATGAAATATGGGCTCATAAAACAAACTGAATCATTTTGTGCCAAATTATTCTTGCTTACTGAAACTCAATGCTGAGCTCTTTTTTTCTTCTGTATGCTGCACAGAATACATCAATCAGCTATTTCCTTCTAAGGTGACGTGATTAGATGTTTGTTTCTGCATTGTTTTTATCATATATTTGTATTCATATAAAAAAAAAAAACAAGGCACTGCTTAAATTGCTTTACTTTATTGGATATTTTCTTTTCTCTAAAGGAATAAGCATAGAGAGGAGCCTTTTTTATACTGTTAATAATTTGAGCTCACTTACAGCTTTATTGCACTCTTCACATAGTAAGACAACAGAGCAACCAAGCATGAAGACATAATATGACAGGGACATGAAAGGGGTTGTTCTGCTCTCAACTTGAGGTGG